CAAAAATGATGGCAAAAGAAAAAACACCAAGATGGTAGTAACGCAATCCCCTGTCTCAATAACAGACGTTGTGGAGAAAGAAAATAAAGGAAAAGCTACAATGCCAAATTCAAGAACAAAAGAAAGAAGCAGAAATGCTGGGAAAACAAGTAAGTGCTGGAAAAGGCAAAGAAATCTTATTTACAATTTTGTGTATTTAGTAATTAATGCCATTCGATATACATATATATATATATATTATTAAAATTATCTTGACGCATTCGAGAAGCAACCACGCCCAAATTATTCAAGGCCATGTGTTATGATGACACCGAAAAATCTAACTCCGACGAGATTGAAGTGCAATCATTGACTATGTAACAACCCAACTCACACAAGTTAGAATAAACAGAACTTCTTAGTGAATAGGGGAACAATAGGCCAAACTTCTCATTAACCAAGAAAGTTATCACACGAGGAAGAAGGGGATACACCCATCACCAAGACAATAATCTTTGTTGCTGACAACAGATAGCTGAAATTACCAACAACTCTCCATTCTGCAAAACCCTATTTTACACAAAAGACCACTCCTTTGGACAGGAGTTGACATGGTTGGATTTTTTTACACTATTTTCATAAAATTTATATTGTACTAATTTTTTTTATTTTTATAAGTTAAAATCAAAATCTTACTTTTTAATATCGGTATTATTACCTTTGATTTTTTTTAGATTTTGATTCGATGTAGTATGGTTTTATGATTATTTTATATTTTCAAGATAATCGATAACTTTAGCCTAACAACAGCACATTAGTTTTAAAAATTTGTATTAAAGTAAGACTTATAATTATAAACCTAGTTTGATATAAATTTGCCTCTATATGATAATCTATGAGCAACTTTCAAACAAATTATTATTATTATTATTCTTGTTATTATTATTATTATGCCACAAGAGTTTTTGAAATTTTATTTTTCTGCAAACTAATTTAATTCTTTTAAATTAAGAAATTGTTTTTTAAATAATCATGGCTAATGTCCTGAGAAAGGAAAATACTTGAGATCAATATTTGTCATTATTTATTAATTAATTTGTATACTTGTAAGTGATTTAAAATTTGTACAACATAAAGTTAGGGTTTCGACTTTGCACAAACCAAAAAAGGTGAAGAAGTATAATCAGCCTGTGAGGCTAAAATAAACACTAATTAGAGAGAGGTGAAGTTGTGCCAAAAGTGAAAAATTAGGGTTCTAGTCTATAACAATATTTCTTACACTTAAGTTTAATAGTCTTATTGCATTACTGATATTCGTCTTTAGATTTCTAATTTCTCGAATTTATCTTGACATGTTTATATTATTTCAATTTAATCCTTAAAATATAAAGTAAAAATTCAATAATTTGGGGGTTTAATCATTTTATATAATATAATTATTTTTATAAAATATTATATGCATATGTGGAGAAATTTTATTAAAATCCTATTATGTAGTAGAGATTTCCAATGTAAGAGTGAAACGTGGGAAAATAAATGCATATCATTTTTTTTCTTGCATCGAGTTGTTGTTGTATTTTTAACATCATTTTGTAAGACTCGGCTCGGTGTATCTTGATATGTTTTTCTGATTTACATATTTATATGTTCTTATATACATAATGTTTTAAAAGGAAATAAAATGTATATTTCATCTGCAAAAGTGCAAAATTTATGATGTAACACCAAGTTATTTATGAATGCTTTATGTTCTCATGTCATGTTGTAATTATTGCAACAGATCATTGTCAATCCAAGGTGTTGTTCATTTTTCCATATCTCACTCACCTTCTTAACTTCTGTGTTCCATTAGTTCTCATCTTTCTCTAGATTGACTAATGTTTATTCAATATTTTCCATACAGAGAGTTGCATGAAAGATGGACTTACCTGAAATTTTCAAAGTTGCATGAAAGATGGACTTACCTGAATTTTTCAAGGTTTTCTTACTAGATTGAAGCTCAGAAAGACTTGTATGCATAATTATCTTTCTTATACTTAACTTTTGTCTCATGACATTGTTAAAAATGCACACTTTGTTTTGACTTCTATATATATATATATATATATATATTGGTAGCTTCTTCCTTATGCATGCACACTACGTTACAAAGGAACACTACCAAAACAAGTTTTTCTTAGGAATTCTTGAGGCAAAATTTGGCTTGTGCAGCTAACTTATTTTCAAGGCAGTTGGGCTAAGTTTGCTCAAGATAATTCATTACGTTAAGGAGACATGTTAATTTTTAAATTTGATGGATATTCAATCTTCGATTTTAAATTACTTGCAATTGTATGGGATGTGTTGTAATGTTCCAAAAACTACTGGTTCTAACAACTTGTTAAGCTTGAACTACTGGCCCAAAATACTTAAACTCAAGTTGTTCAGTAGTAGTATCTAGTCGTTTATTAGCTCAGCATCTCTCCTGTATTTTTTCAATATGGGATTCACCTAAGGGTGTCATACACACACTTTCCCTTTGGGATGTTACATACACCCCCTTTGGGATGTCACATGTGAGAAGAAAGTGTTGCCACCTATAGGCATAAAAAAAGAGGTGAAGGAGATGGAGGATGAGGAAGAGGAAGAGGAAGAGGAAGAGGGTGTGGAAGAAGTAGAAAAGAAGGAAGAAACATTTGAAGTTCCAATTTCAAAGAAATCTCGTTTACAATTTGTGCATCAGTCTATTTAGTAATGAATGCCATTTAGATACATTTATATATATAAATATATATATCAATGCCTATTTTAAAATTGGTAAAACATTTCTACCATTTGTCCATTCAAATTGTTATCATGTGTAAGTGATATGATTTATATATTTTTTTTTGTCATACTAAATCTATTTATACTACTAGTTATCTCGTGCAAAATATGTGCTATAATACTAGTTTTGTATTAATATAGCTATTTGTTTTACTACAAGAAAATAAGGATTTAGCATAATTGAAAGTTGATGCAAAAGGAATAACTTTTGTTGCAATAACGTTGCAAATTGTGTTGTTACAAAAAAGTAATTGTAACAAAACCAGTGTAACTAATATTGTTGCAAAATGGAAGTCATTTTGCAACAATTGTTACTTATTATTTGCAACAAAAAATGTCTTGTTGCCAAATGGAAGTCATTTTACAACAATTGATTTTGTTACTTATTATTTGAAACAAAAAATATCTTGTTGCAAAATGGAAGCCATTTTGCAACAATTGATTTTGTTACTTATTATTTGCCAAAAAAAATGTATTGTAGCCAAATACAATAATTGAATTTCAAATATTATAAATATATAAAATATTTTGCATCAATCAATTTTTTTAACTTTTTTTTTGCAACAATATTTACTATTGCTTAGCCTGATCATTTTATTGCAAATATTATAAAATATGAATAATATTTGCAACAATATTTATTGTTATGTAACTAAATATTTAAATTCAACAATTATAAATTTATGGAAGTAATTTGCAACAATACATTTTTTAATATTTTGTAACACTATTTATTCTTACAGAACCTAATTTATTAATTTCAATCGTTACAAATTTATAAAAATAAATTTTAGTAATTGCAACAATCCAATAAAGAAATCAATATTTTTACAAATCAATATTCAATAAAATAAATATTCATAATAATTTGCTCTACAATCCAATAAATAAATATTTTTACCAACTATTTAAAACAATGAGACAATTTCAAAAAATTAAGAAATCCTTCAACCTATTACTAGACACCCTAAAAAAATTATAGAAACTCAATTCATATTTCACCATCAACTCCAAGCCATTACTCTTCATATTAGCTATCTATTGCATCTCATGCATTCTAGGTTTTTTTCCAGTAATAGGACGTCTCTGCACAAAATAATAATAATAATATTATTATTAATTATATGAGATATATAAAAAATAATTAACATAATACATTAATATATAGTATCTTATTTTGTCATGACGAAGAGCCTTAAATGTTTTGCGACTAGCAATACGAGGGATCATATGCTTCTTCCTATTCTCCTTATTTCTTGAACCAATTACATGCATTAAGTTAATCATATAATAATAATATAATTAACCAACAATAAGATTGTAATTCTTATTTATATTTTTAAGTTTGGTATCATCATACCTAAAAGTCAAGTATTCCAAAGTAGCTCACTAGATACTTCCATTGATCAAAGGAAACATTTGTTAGACAGTGTGCCAAGTGCAACATATTTCAAGTCTACAACTCACGCTTTCTTGTGCATAAAGAAGATATGATGAGTCCACAAAAGAACACATATAACTATCTTTGTTTGTATCTAATCAATTTAATTTTTTGGGAGGAAATGGGCTGTCATATCATGCTTTTGAATCTAATCTTTAGTCAAACTAAAAAGTGGGAATATAACAGCTATTGAGAACCTTTAAGCATCAAGCTAAGAATGAGTGCCGAAGACTCCTATGATGCATCAAATACACTTCTTCCCTAGCAAAAAGGGTAGGTTTTTTACCATGAAAGAAAAAGAAGATGCCAACTTAAGGGATCCTAAAGTCCATCTAACATCTGACAGAGAAATCATCCCAACCATCAATTTTTAGATTACGAATACATTTCCTTCACCAACAATATATAATAAGTTAACATATCCCTCCTGTTCCAACTTATAAGACCAATCCTCTCCTATCACAAAACAACGCCCTGAATACCTATTAAATGAATGACAAGTGTTCACACTTGCCAAATAATAATTAAAGAAGAGAACCAAAACAAAGAAGAGCTTCATTCTACAAGCAGTTTAAACAGCATGTAAAATTATATGGATCGCTTTCTCCTATGCATGACATAGTGGCCAAATTAAAAATCTAATAACTGAATCAATAATTTTGATGACACTTTGCATGGAGCAGAAGGAGAATGCAGGTTCGATGCAATGGCATGTGACAAAAAAAAATGATATATAAACCCAAACTTTAGCAGTGACTAACATGAACTAAGTAAACTACCAAGGGTTTTTCACTGTCACCAGATGATCAATAGACAGAGAGAGGATATCCGAACTATAACAGACAGAAAAAAAATGATAAAGAATCATACCGTGTAAAAAGTTCCCCTGAGGCATGAACACACTTCACATAGTCTGCATTAAGCCAAAGACGACCCATTGCTGGAAGCAAACTTTCTCTAATAATGTTAAAAAATTCAGCATTTACATTCACAGTAGCTCTTGTAGCAGCACAATAAGCCTTCCAACCACTAACGGGTGTTATGTTATCCTGTTCCAACGTGAAATCCTACCAAAGCATAAAAAAGAAATACAGGGATAAAGTTGAGCTGCAATCTAATCTTTGCCAACATGCATTGAATTTTAAATCGAGAATTTCATGTTGCAGGTGGCATGTTATATTGAGATTTAAAATCCTGGAGGTAGCAACCTGAATGGAAAAATTCATATACATGCCTACCAACTCTTATCTACAACACACCAACCACAAGGACTAGAGACAAGTCTCTCATATTTCAAGTTCCTAACAGGTATTTATATTTTTTAATACTAATATTTTTATTAAATTTTTTTATGTTTTAAACATTACTGACTTTTTTAGTTGGTATATTTTTGATTTCTTGAATATTACCGATGCAACTTCATATTAGTAACAATCTTAATTAATGTTAATTTTTTACTTTTAAAATTATCATCAGAAAAAACATAAAAAATTGTGACAAAAAAAGTTTTCCATCAATTTTGACTTGGTTAGTAATTTTCCAACCAGCTAGCCTCGGAAAGCACGTCAGTAAACCAATGCATTTTTTTGCATCAGTAACTTAGTATTTATTTTTTTGAAGGACAGCCACGTACGTCTGTTACTTCTCTTTAATTTATTTTCCTTTTGTTCCCCAGTTTTCCTTAATTCCTTTTCTTATATTCAAAACAAAATTGAATCTCAAAATATCATTAATGGCTTTCAAATTATAATGATTACATATATAAAAAGTATTAAAAGGGAGGACAATAATACTTTGAACGAAGGCCTTATCAATATTCAGACTCTTGATTTTAAAAATATTTCTATCTATTTTATTATTTCTTTCTTTCCATCTTTCCTTTTTCCTTCTTTTCAAAACAAAACAGAATTAGTAGCGTTCCAATTGTAGTTATATACATTCAATGCTGTTTAAAAAAGAGAGCACAGGTATAACATCCATAGAAAAGTGGGCTTACCTAGAAAACTTCCTTTGGCAATATTTTACATCCCGTTCACATTTTTTATGCTAACTCATTTATCATGAAAGAAAATTAAAATTTCTTAAAAAATTAAAATTTCAAAAACAGAAGGGCTTACCAAGTTCTTTACGTTACTAACTTACTATATATTGCCAGCTCAACCTTGCTTATTTGTTCATCTCTCTCTCTCTCTCTCTCTCTCTCTCTCTCTCTCTCTCTCTCTCTCTCTCTCTCTCTCTCTCTCTATCTCGCTCAACTGCACTCTCACTCTCTTTCTCTGTCTCTCTCGCCTTTGACCTTGCTTATTTGTACATCTCTCTCTCTCTTTATCTCGCTCAACTGCGCTCTCCCTCTCTTCCTCTGTCTCTCTCGCCTTCGTTCACTTCAAGACTTTTTCGAGTTTGTTGCTGAGATAGAGCTGAGTTCAATAGGCTTGATCGTCATTGCAACACCCCACTTTAAGCTTCTCATTTTTCTTTGAAATCTGATACGAAGGTATATCTAACTATTTCACCCATTGCAGATCTCTTTACAAAGGTTTGATTGTCCATTTCTCCCGTAGATAGATGTCATTACTTTTGAAATTTTACTTAGTTTCCGCTTAATGCCTTAGAAAACAGAGCTTTTGGTTTCCTATGTTGTGAGTTGGTTTACCATGAAAGTTGTATATGTAAGAAAAGTGTGAGATACATGAAAGGGGACCGGAAAGTGATATAGATAATCTCTGGGAGGGACTCAGAAGCTCTTTTAATTGGGGACCCCTTAAGCCAATGTGTGCATCTGCCGCTGGACAATCCAGTAAATTTCTGGAGTTTTTTAAATTATATTTTTTGCATTGATGTTTTGTTGTTTTCTTGGATGGATTTTGAAAATTTTTGCTGCTTGATTTGGGTGGAGATGAAAATTTAGAGATGGTTTGTTTGATTAAGAACCAAGCTAAAATCTAACTTAAAAGATATATATATCATATGATGATAGTTCTTGTCCATCATTTGATGGCTTTATGCATTTGTTTCTTATTTTTAAATGCTAGATATATTTCTGTCATGCTATGCACATATGCACATGCACCCACATATATGTGGAGAAAATTTTATTAAAATCCTAATATGTAGTAGAGATTTCCAATGTAAGAGTGAAACTTGGGAAATAAATGCATATCATTTTTTTTCTTTTTCTCTTTTTTGCATCAAGTTATTGCTGCATCTTAACATCATTTTGTAAAACTCGGCTCAGTTTGTCTTGATATTTTTTTCTTATTTACATATTTATATGTCTTCTTATATATGTAATGTTTTAAAAAGAAATAAATTGTATTTTTCATCCACAAAAGTTGAAAATTTATGATGTAACACCAAGTTATTTATGAATGCTTCATGTTCTCATGTCATGTTGTAATTATTGCGACGAATCATTGTCAATTGCAAGATGTTGTTCATTTTCCCATTTCTCTCTCACCTTCTTAACTTCTATGATCTGTTAGTTATCATGTTATTTAGATTGACCTATTTTGTTGAATACTTTTCATATAGAGAGTTACATCAAAGATGAAAGACCTTCCTGAGCTTTTCAAGGTTTTCTGGCCAGATCGGAGTTCAGAAAGACTTGTACGCACAACTATATTTCTTAGGCATAACTTTTATCTTGTAACATTGTTTAAAATGCACACTATGTTCTCACGTCATTTTTTTTTTGGTAGCTTATTCCTTATGCATACACTGTACGTTACAAAGGATCACTACCAAAACAAGTTTTCCTTAAAAATTCTCAAGGCAGAATTTGGCCTATGCAGTTTGTGAAAGACGGGAAAAACATGTATTTTCAAGGCAATTGGGCTAAGTTTGCTCAAGATAATTCATTACGTTATGGAGATGTGTTAATTTTTAAATTTGACAGTTATTCAATCTTCAATTTTAAGTTACTTGCAATTGGTACGGGGAGTGAGAAGAAAGTGCTGCCACCTATAGGCATAAAAAGGAGTTGAAGGAGGAGGAAGAAGAGGAAATGATGTGGAAGAAGTAGAAGACAAGGAAAAAGGACTCGAAGTTCCAATTTCAAAGAAGAGAGGCATAAAAGGACTTACGGAAAAATCCAATAAGTTCTTGAAAAAGGCCAAGATCGGTACCATGTGCAAATTTGTATTACTAATTCTCTATCTTATATTAATTAGCATCATTTATTATATATTGTGTAGCATGATCACATTCTTTTACCAATACTAGCAGGCTTAGATGGGCATGAGGAAACAAGTGCATTAAAAAATGATGGCAAAAGAAAAAACACCAAGAAAGTAGTAACACAATCCCCCGTCACAATAACAGAGGTTGTGGAGAAAGAAAAAGAAGGAAAAGCAACAATGCCAAATTCAAGAACAAAAGAAAGAAGCGGAAATGCTGGGAAAACAAGTGGGTGCTTGGAAAAGGCAATGAAATCTCATTTACAATTTTGTGCATCAGTGTATTTAGTAATTAACACCATTTTGATATATATATATATATATATAATATTAAAATTTGTAAAATACTTCTACCATTCGTCAATTCAAATGGTTGTCGCGTGTGAGTGATGGATTTTGTCACTCTAAATCTATATATATTACTTGTTATCCCGTGCAAATTATGTGCTACAATACTAGTTATATTAGCAATGACTACTTGTTTTGCTAATAATCCTACAAGGCTTAGATAGGCATGGTGGGAAAGTTGTTGCGGATGTAGGTAGAAGCAACAAACTTGAAACAAGTAAGGATGACGATGAGAATGAAATTTTCAAATATGGAGTAGTTCTACGCCCCATTGATCCTTACTTTGTGGCAAAGATTTGGGCAAAAATGTCAAATGACTTGGTAAGATTTGCGTGCATGATAATATAAACAACACTTTTATAGTTTTACATTCAAATAGCTCAGATTTATTTTTTAAAAGAGAATAAACTTTTTCCTTTTGGAAAAGTGCTTCTAAAAAAAGTTTATACAAATGGGCTTTAATTTCTTTGCTTTATATTGTAGTACATTCCCAAGGATGTGATAAGAGATCATTAGCTCAAACTCTCAGAAACTCTAAAGTTGATTGATGAACAAGGCAAGACATGGAAGTCAAAGATCTGCGTGTGGAGTGATGGTTGGACATGGCTTTATGATGGGTGGAGAGATTTTTGCCATTCAAATAATTTGAATGATGAAGATCGATGCATATGTGAGTTCAAGCAAGGGAGGGACGGATTGGGAATTCACATGAAGGTAACCATTATCCAAGTCCGCTCATGGCTGCCTACCCAAACATAGTCATGAGAGAGCCTCTTTCATCATCCTAATCTTGTAAAAGCACCTACAAGCAATTGATAGCTTATTGATCTAATGGCATCTCTTCGGGATTTAAGTGCTAAAGATCTTGATCGTGTGGTATTTGAGCTATTTATACTACTAAAAAAATGCTTTATTCTAATTATTGATCTTCCATTTCTTAGTGCTTTTTTTTATGTATCTAAGAAGAAAATGGCCAATGACTTATGAACAATTCTTCCCACTTTGGATCCACAACAACCTAATTAATGCAATTTTTTTAAAACTGGAATTAAATTTAAGTTAAAAATTTTTAAAATTAAATTTAAAGGATGTTGGATGCACAAAAATTGCACATATAATACTAAGTCATATCATCAACCTAAGCTTATGAAAATATTTGTGTGCAATTGTGCTGTAGCTTTAATTTATTTTAATTTTGGATTTTATATTTGATAGAGCTGTTTTTATTTAAATTAATTTTATTTGTCTAACCAGAACATCAAACTTCACATTTCCTTTGAAATTTGATAATTTAGAGGACCATCAAATTTTTTTTCAATCTCTGATCTTATTATATAAGTATGATCTTTGTCACTTTTTGGATCACATAAATTTTTATGTATACACATAAATGGTCAGAGCTTCCTATATATTTTTGTTATGATTTTTGCTTTGTTGTCTTAAAAAACAAGGTGTTGATTTCTGATGTTGTAAGTTGTACAAGTTCTTGGATAAGAAATAAAACTATGAGACACAACACAGATGAATCCATGTTATAGTTCTTTAAGCTCTCCTTTGTTGTGATATGTAGAGATGTTAAATTTTGGTCTTTGATGGATGTGAAGAATTTGCT